ACCCCTAAACCACTGGACAACCACTGATGTGTGCCTCTTGGGGCCCTCTTAGGGGCCGCCTGGGGACCCTCTTGGAGCGTGTGTGGAGCGTTTTGGGCCCTCTGGGCAGCCTTCGTAGAGCGCCTTGGCAGCGTGGTGGGCCATCAGGAGGCAATCGCCAACCAATATGTCTAACAAGCCTTCACGCCCTCCAGACTGCCCAGGAGGCCGCCAAGACGTCCCGAGAAGCCTCCAAGACCCCAAGACACCCCACACCGCCTCCAAGACGGCCCCTAAGACGGCTCCAAGAGCGTGCCCAGACGGGGGACCCGAACGGCATTTTGAACCCTCGGCCCTGAGAGGCTCCCAGGAGGCCCCAAGAGGTCCCCAGAAGCCCGAAGAGGCCCCAAAAAGGCTCCCAAGAGGCCTCCAAGAGGCCCCCAAGAGGCCCCAGGATGCCTCCCCAGAGGCCCCCGACCGAAGAGACCCCAAGAAGCATCCCTCTGGCCCACGTCAGCGTCGTCGTCGTCGCCGCCGCCGTTGTCGTCGTCGTCGTCCCCCTTCAGGGTTGGCGGCACCGTCCGAAATCAAGGCCTTCGCAATCATGAGTATCGTTTAACCGATCCCCATCCCCAGCGGCGTGGCCTGGGCCCCGCTGGCCGATTTACCCCCCTAGATGGGGATATAGGTCGTTCCCTTCGGGTTTCAAAGGGTGTATCCCCAACTGGGGTGGTAATTTGGTGGGGGTCTCGAAAAGGATGGAGATGGGGATGGGGATCGGATAAACGATACCGAAATCACAGGTTGTGCTCACGCGCGCAGGCTCCACCACAAGGGCCCGGCTGCACGGCCTGGGCCGGCAGCGAGGAGCCGGCGGTGCCCACAACACGCGCCGATCCGTCACGAAAACTACTGGGAGGTCAGCGCGCACATCTCGATCGAGGGCTCCTCGGGAACCTCGGCGACCGACGCCGGTCCGCCAGAGGCGACCTTGTGCAAAGCCTCCTCCATCAGCTTACAGTACAACTTCGTTGTATAGTAGGTGTACCTCTTAGCACCATTGTATACAACCAGCATGGTCACAATGAGGGTGACGAGCAAGTGGAAAGAAGAGTAGAAGAAGCTGGGCAAGGTCGTCAACATAGCCACGAAAGACAAGCATGAATGGCATGCCACATAGATCAATGCATCGGTCCGCTGGAAGTGATTGCTCTTGGCCAACTTGCGGTGTTCTTCCTGGTCGACGCCTCGGAACCTCTCGTATATCAGCGCCCCCATGTGGTTGCGCATGTTATCCGTCACCGTGCCCCTGGGCATGGAGTGGGCGTGTCCTCAGGTCCTTTGCCTAATCCCTGGAGCCTCAGTCCTCTGTCCTGATCTCAAATTCCGGAGGAGGAGGAGGAGGAGCCGGAGGAGGAGGAGGAGGAGGAGCAGGAGGAGGAGGAGGAGGAGGAGGACGAGGAGGACGAGGAGGAGGAGGAGGAGGAGGAGGAGGAGGGGGAGGGGAGAAGGAGGGGGAGGGGGAGGAGGAGGAGGAGGAGGAGGAGGAGGAGGAGGAGGAGGAGGAGGAGGAGGAGGAGGAGGAGGCCCGCCGACCCTGTCGGCGTGTGTGAGGGGCTTGTCCGTTCGAGTCGTCCTCTTCGTCGTTCGACAGTCGTCGTGTCTGCCGGCTCCTTCCCCTGCGGCCCCCATCTCCCTGGGCCCGTCGCCGCTCCCCCCCTTCTTTTCCTGGGCCCTCCCACCCAAGCGCGCCAGCCAAAGCGAAATTGAATAACGTCGTAACTCAATCGAAGGGAAGCCCTTTCCCATTGATCCCTCCCCCGTCGGGGGGGGGGGGTCCCAAAGGGGGGCTTCGCCACCAAGATACGCCTCCCTCCAGGGGGGTCCCGGGTCTCAAAAAAATCCAGGAAGGGCCAAGAGTGCCCGAAGAGACCCCAGGACGGTCCAAGAGGGCCCCGCATCGCCGAACGATATGTCCAAGACGCCGTCACGGCCTCCTGAAGGCCCATAAGGCAAGCAAAACGCCCCCAGAAAGCCTCCAGGAGCACTTCCAAGAAGGCTTCGCGAGGCAACCTTCATTCATGTCCATTGGGTTTTTGCAGGATTTTGGTGTCCTCGCCTCTTCCGCTTCCCGACGGCGGCCCCAGAGGCCCCCAAGATCGCCCCCATAGCCCAGAGTCCTCCAAGAAGCTCCCAAAATGGCCTAAGAAGGCCCCTAAGACGGCCCGAGACGCCTCCAAGACAGGCCAATAGGCACTCAAGACGGCTTCAAGAGCGTGTCCAGACGGACGACCCGAATGGACATTTCGAGCCCTCGCCCCCGAGAAGCTCTCAGGAGGCCCTAAGAGGCCTCGAAGACGACCCCAAGAGGACCCCAGGAGCTCCTGGAGGCCCCCAAGAGGCTCCCAAAAAGCCCCCCAAGAGTCTCCCCAAACGCCAACAAACTGCCCACTAGAGGCCTCCGAAAGCGCTCCGAAGAGACCCCGACAAGCATCCCCCTCCTCCCCCTGCTCCTCACCCTCCTCCTCCTCCTCCTGTTCCTCCGCCTCGTCTTCGTCGTCCCTCACCTGCTCATTGCCCTTCTCGACCTCCTTCTGCCCCTCCTCATCCTCCTCCGCATGCTCTTCCCCATCCCCTCCCTCACGGCGTCCTCCTCCTCCTCCTCCTCCTCCTCCTCCTCCTCCTCCTCATCCTCATCATCATCATCATCATCATCATCATCATCATCATCATCATCATCAGCAGCATCATCACCCTCACCCTCACCCTCACCCTCCTCACCCTCACCCTCACCCTCACCCTCACCCTCACCCTCACCCTCCTCCTCCTCCTCCTCCTCCTCACCCTCCTCCTCCTCCTCCTCCTCATCATCATCGTCGTCGTCGTCGTCGTCGTCGTCATCGTCGTCGTCATCGTCATCGTCATCATCATCATCATCATCATCATCATCATCATCATCATCGTCATCATCATCATCATCATCATCATCATCATCATCATCATCATCATCATCTCGTCCACGTCATCGGCATCGTTATCGCATCGTCATCGTCATCGTCCATCGCCATCGTTCATCGTCCATCGTCATCGTCATCGTCATCGTCATCGTCATCGTCGATCGTCTCGTCATCGTATCGTTCATCGTTCATCGTCATCGTCATCGTTCATCGTCATCATCATCATCATCATCATCATCTATCATCAATCAGCATCAGCACCAGCATCAGATCATCATCGTCCCGTCATCCATCATCATACTCAGTCCTAAACTCATCATCATCATCTCTCTCCTCATTCCCAAATTTTTCCATCATCATCAGCATCATCATCATCCTCATCACCACCACCACCATCATCATCATCAGCATCAGCATCAGCATCATCATCAGCATCAGCATCAGCATCATCAACCTCATCATCTTCATCAGCATCAGCACCAGCACCATCATGACCACCATCATAATCATGATCGTCATCATCAGCATCATCATTGTCATCATCATCAGCATACTCATCATAATCGTGATCACCATCATCGCCATCATCGTCACCATCATCAACATCATCAGCATCATCATGTTCATTATCAGTATCATCATCATCATCATCATCATCATCATCATCATCATGATCAGCATCATCATCATCATCATCATCATCATCATCAGCATCATCATCATCATCATCAGCATCAGCATCAGCATCATCATCCTGCTCCCCTTGCTCTTCCTCGTCCTTGTCCTCGTCCTCGTCGTTGTCCTCCTCCATCTCCTCCTCCTCCTCAACCTTTCCCTGCTCATCAACCCCTCATTCGCATCATCCTCATCATCCTCATCCTCCTGATCATTCTCCTCATCATGCTCCCCCCCTCCCTCGCATACTTTCCCACGGTGCTCCGCAACCTTACCTCGAGCTCGTCCTTCCCATCCTCCTCCTCCTCCTCCTCCTCCTCCTCCTGCCCCTCCTCCTCCCCCTTCTCCCCGTCCTCCGTCTTCTCCTGCTCCTCCGACTCCCATTATCCTCGTTACTGCTCCTTCCCCCCTTCTTCCTCCTCCTCCTCCTCCTCCCTCCGCCTCCTCCTCCCCTCCTCCTCCTCCTCCTCCTCCTCCTCCTCTTCCTCCTCCTCCTCCTCCTCCTCCTCATCTTCCTCCTCCTCCTCCTCCTCCTCCTCCTCCTCCTCCTCCTCCTCCTCCTCCTCCTCCTCCCCCTCCTGCTGCTCCACCGCGTCCTCTGCCTCCTCCTCCTCCTCCTGCTCCTCCTTCCCCCCCCTCCTCATCCTCGTCATCCTCGTCGTCGACGACTTCAAGGTCGGCGGCACCAGCCGTAAGACCTTCGCAATCTCTTGGGGCCTGTCGCGCCATGCTGCTTCACTGCTTCGGAGCCGAGAGGGCCCGCAGACGGGCCAAGAGAGCCCTGCGAGGCACCCAAGGTGGTCCAAGAGGGCGCCGAGTCGCCGAAAGATCTTTTCAAGATGCCCAAGGTGTCCCCAAGATGGCCCAGGAGGCCTCCCAAGAGAGTCCCAAGAGGCACAACTCATTGAATGTCACTAAGTGTTTGAAAGATGTTGGCGTTCCAACGCTCCAAGACGGCCCAAGAAGCCCTCCAAACCACTCCAAAACGGCCGAAGGGGCCTCCAAAAGGGTCCCCAAGACGTCCTAATTGCGCCCAAACACGGCCCAAGGGGTGCCCAAAACGGCCAAGAAGGCCCCAAGACGGCCCCAAAAGCGGCCCAAGAGAGGCAACACGAACCGACAATCCAAGCCTTGCGACCCAGAGGCCCCCAGGAAGCCCCTAGAGGCCCTCAAGAAGCTCCCAAGAAACCCCAAAGATGCCCCCCAGATGCCCCACGAGGCGCAAAAGAGGCCACCAAGAGGCCCCCGAGGGGCCTCCCACGAGATCCCACGGAACATCCAATAGGCCTCATACTCCCAACCCAGGCACGGTGGCAGAATTGGCCGAAGGCCATTCGATAGTGGAACATAGTGTCGTAACCCCGCTTCGGAAACGACATGCCACATGTGACCAGCCACAGGAGGTAGAGAGACGCCCAAAAGAGATAGAACGCGGCGGACGCAAGGACAATGTCGGCTACAGTAACATCGTTGAATTCATCAAGCTTGAATTGGGGCCACGCCTCATGCACAACGTCGGCGTGAAACCGCATGTTGTACATAACCAGCGATGGGAAAAGGTGTATCAAGACCGATGCCACGTTGTCCGCGTCGTGAAAGATTAAGGCGTTCCCCAGAAAGCCACCAGCCAGCAGCAGCGGTCCACAACCGATTCCCCAGGCGGCCGCCAAAACTTGATGACGGAGAAACGCTTGCGGCACGACTATCACCTGGAAGTGGTCTAAAAACGTTACCACTATGCCCCCGATGCTCGCGAAATTCGCCACCCAACAGAAGTCGAACCAATAGGCGACTTCGCTGGGCCTCGCACTGGCCTGGTGGCTGAAACGGGCGGGGAACAGCACGCAGGCCTCGAGCAAATACACCAGCCAGAAGTGCTGCGGAATCCTCCCGAAGCTCCACGCCACGAAGAGGCAATTGCACACCCCCAGGAAGAAATTCGTCGTGCTGAGCCCCCTGGCCTGCAACCTCTGCGCCGTCGCACTCACGATCTCAAGGCCCCTCTCCAAAGTCTGGCGCTCGACCGTGGTCAACGTCCTCTGCAGGCGGGGCCGGGAGGTGCCTGCGGCATCCACGCGCGAATTTCGATCACCATCAAACTCCTCAGGACTTAGTGCAGACACGTCGGTCGAGGGATTCGCGGCGCCCTCACTGGCTGGAGCCCATGCGCGTTCGCGAGTTCCTCCAGAAGTGACTTCCTGGACGGCATCCTTCATCAATTTGCAGTACAACTTCGTTGTATAGTAGGTGTACCTCTTAGCACCATTGTAGATTACCAGTATGGTCACAACGAGGGTGACGAGCAAGTGGAAGGAAGAGTAGAAGAAGCTGGGCAAGGTCGTCAAAATGGCCACGAAAGACAAACCTGCATGGCAAGCCACATAGATCAATGCATCGGCCCGCTGGAAGTTATTGCTCTTGGCCAACTTGCGGTGTTCTTCCTGGTCGACGCCTCGGAACCTCTTGTATATCAGCGCCCCCGTGTGGTTTCGCATGGTATAATGAAAGATGGTGTCGTAACCCCGCTGCGGAAACGACATGCCACACGTGACCAGCCACAGGAGGTAGAGAGATACCCAGAGGAGATAGAACGTGGTGGAAGCGATGATGATGTCGGCTCCCGTGATATCATCGAAGTAGTCAAGCCTGAATTGAGGCCAAGCTTCTCGCACTGCGTCAGCGTGAAAACGCATATTGTACATGACCAGCGACGGGAACAAGTGTATCAAAACAGAAGCCACGTTGTCCGCGTCGTGAAAGATCAAGGCGTTTCCCAACACACCGCCAGCCAGCAACAGCGGTCCACAGCCAATCCCCCAAAACGCTGCAAACACCTGATGACGGAGAAACGCTTGCGGCACGGCGATCACACCGAAATGGCTCAGACACAACATCATGATGACTGCGATGCTGACGAAATTCGCCACCCAACACAAGTCCAGCCAATCCTCTCCAGAGCCAACGGCACACGGGGCGTGCTGGAACGTCTCGGCTGTCTGGCAAGGGTCCCTGTATGATTTTCTGGCCCCCGCCCCCCGTCGGGGCAACCACGGTCAAGAGACCGCCCTCCCCGCCCCGCCAATTTTGCCATCCAACGCTCTTATCGGCACCGAGACGTCCCGAAACCGCTTCTCGACCGGTCCAAGGCGCCCCAAGGATCCAACGATGTTTAAGAGATCGCCCCAAGAGGCCACAAGAGACCTCAGCAACCTTTCAAGGCACGCTCAAAGAGGCCTCCAGCGAGGCCGTGGGAGGCGAATCAAATTGAACAACTGAACTAATCAATGCGTTCGGCTCCAGTCCGCCTCTGGCACGCTTCAGAGCCCCAACAACGAGCTCCCAATACGTTTCAAGACGGCCAGAAAGCCCCGCTAAGACGGCCCAATGTTACCCCAAAAAGGCCCCAAGACCCGTCCAGACGGCCCTAAAATGTACCAGCTGAGCATGTCCGGGACGGCCCAGTGGAGCAATTGCACCCGTGACAGTCCCGATGCCCCGCAGGCCTCCAGCAGACCCCCACGAGAATGTCACGAGGCTCCAGAGAAACAAACCTCCAACAGCCCAGTGGAGCAATTGCACCCGTGACAGTCCCGATGCCCCGCAGGCCCCCAGTAAACCCCCACGAGAATGTCACGAGGCCCCAGAGAAACAAACCTCCAAGAAACCTCAAAGAGGGGGGAAGACGAAAGGAGGAGGAACACGAGGCTGCGGGCAAGGAAGGGACGTTCAAGACACGCGCCCTGAACTGGGGACGTTCAGACGTTCAGACAGAGCCCTGAATTAGAGAGGTCTCAAAATAAACCTCCTGCATGCTGCGCTGCTGGGCTGGTGCGGTGGCGGGGTTTGCCGCAAGCAACCGGATATGCGACCTGGCTGGGCCTCGCACTGGCCTGGTGGCCAAAACGGACCGGGAACAATACGCAAGCCTCGGATCCGCCAGCCCCTTGGGGGGCCAACGTTCTGCGTGGCCCAGGCTGTCCTGTTCTCGGCGACAGCTCTGGTTCCCAAGTTATAGTTGTAGATGTGTTGTTCTGATTCCGCTGTGGCTATGCTTGAATCCCGCGCGAAGGGGGAAACCGAAAAACGCCCGATTCAAAATGTATGGGGGGATCCTGGGACACATAAGCCCCGAGGCAACAATCTCTTGTAAGTGGCAACAGGCTTGCGCACCCGAGGCCCCAATCCTTCATGAATTACGTCAGGTTCGCGCTCCCCGCGTCACAATCAATGGTGAAGTACGCCCAGCTCACGTTCCACAAGCCACAATCCCTTGCGCATCACTCCAAATTCGCATCCCCCAGGCCACATACCGTTTTAAAGTATGCTGCGTTTGTGCTCTCGACACCACATTTTCTGGTAACTTACGACACGCTTGCGCCCCCGAAGCCGCAACCCCTTGCCACGTACTACGTGTTGGCGATCTCGAGGCCGCCGCAGTCCGTCGTTTACGCCAGATTCGCGCTCCCCAAACCAGCATCCATGTTCGCGCCCCCGAAACCACAATCCTTTGTGGCTTGCGCCTGGCTCGCGCCACCCAGGGCATTACGCCAGCTTCGCGCTCCCGACGTCATAAGGTTGTGTAACATACCACCAGCCTGCGCCCTCGAAACACAACTCCCGGGCAACCTATTACACATCTGCGCACCCGAAGCCCCGAGACCACCTCGCGGAGGCTGCCAAAAAACTCCCCCCTGTCTCCAGAGGAGAACAACTATTCTCCCGCTCCGCGCCGGCGAGGGGTCGTTGGGCGGAGG